GTGTCCGATTGAGATTCAAGCCTTCGTCTGTTTGCATTGAGGTGTTCTAGGCAGATGCTGAAACCAGTGAGAGATGACAAGGAACTGATTGAGCGTATTGATAAGCGCATCGAAGCTCTCTGATTTCGCATCCAAAAATACTACTGTCTTGATTTCACACAATTAAACAACATTTGTCGTTACAAATGCCTTTGAAGATAGTTTATCCAGCCTCGGAGGGTGATGAATGGAAAACTGTCACTGGATTTGATCCGAAGAACACACCACGGAGTTAACCATAATGTTGGATATTGGCCAGGTAGGGTCATGTACATAAAGTTCCATATTATACCACGGAGTTAATTATCACTTGTGCACCACAAGCAACGGTACATATTTTGAGTTATCTTGTGAATATTATACCATTTGAAATCTGTCTGGAAGCTGTTAAAATGCTCCCAGGGCGTGGAAGCTATTTGGAAAATTGGGTGATCACTGCTCAGCAGTGTCAACATCTTAAGACTGAACTTGTCTTATGGCCTATGGCCTGATTCTACGGATAAACAGCATAAGGTATTTAACATTTTGATTTAGTGTGAATAGGTCTGTTGTGAACAACTGGAAACAATCAATTAATTCATAACCATCAAGTATGAAATCAATATGGCTTTCGGTAATTGACTAAAGGTCTGATTGTGTCCTTGAAAATGGTTTTTGTAATCTTGTTTGACCTGGTGCTTTGCATCTCTGCTATGGCTACTCACAGCAGCGTGTATCAAGACTGGAAGGCCTCAAAATTGCAAAACGAGCCATTGGGCTGGCTGAACACTGCCCCTGCAAAGATGAGTGGGTTATGTTGGGGAGCAAGCAAGGAAATATCAGACTTGAGGCAATCTCGTTAATAAGGCCACCTAACCTTTCATCTTGACTTCTTAACAACGTTGAAGTCCCCATTAAGCACTCAAGGGATATCATGTGAACTCATAACAGTAGTTGATTTTTCCCACTACAATTGTCGTTAAAAGTTTGATTTGTGAAAAAGAATTTTTAAAAATCTAATTCATCCCCTTTTGGACTACTCTTTGTTATATTTGAACTAACAATTCTAACAGTTGGCTTAAATGTGTAGGTAAAAACCCTAAATCCTATTATGGATGGAATTAATGATTCATTATATAAAAGTATGGCTGTCTATAATCACATTAGGTCTAAGTTAATGGAGAGTTATTAGAAAAAAAAAAAAGAATGAAATTCTAATGCACTGAGCCCCAACAATTAATCTGGTCAATATTATTTACTCATGTATCACAAATCATGTGCATTTTTGTGTTCTAAATTCTTATTATGGTAATACATCTTGAACTAATATAATTAATTATACGTAAAATTTAACATACGTTTCATTATTATTTGCTAATAATTTCTATTACAACGTATCATAACATTTATATAACAAAATCTTTGCTTCAACATCTTTTCTATTTATCTGCTCTCCGCATAGTAAACCCTGACCTCTTTGTTTCGACATCTACTTTCTTTCTCTCTCTACCCTCCACGTGGTCAATTCTGAAAACTCCCATTGGGGTTTTCTTTTGAATATATACTTGTAATATTAAATTTGTTGCACTCATTCTATTTCTTAGTGTTTATGTACAAGTTAGTTAGAACTCTTCTTAATTTCGATTTTATACCGTGCTCCACTATCCTCCTCCTTGTAAAGAATAAATCTTGAGCTCTTTGCTTCGAACGAATTGAGACCAGCCCTTACCAATAACCGGCCTTGGGACGAGTCCAGCTAGAATTGTGCAGGAAAATCTATTACAGGGCGCCCTTCAAGTGGCGGCAAATCAGCTAAGCAGTGCTCCGGAAATGACAATCTTCTATGGACGTCAGTGCTCGTGAGTACTTTTCTGAAGATAGCCGTAGTCGTAAGTGCTTGTGGCTGAAGAAGTTCTTCCATGGAGATATATATTCAGTGCTGGCTAGCCAAAAGAAATGCACTCGTGAGTTAATTTGGTCAAATTAATTATATTTAAGCAGAGACAAAGGGGGTTCCATTATTTAAAAAAGAAGATATTCAGAGATGCAATAATTGCTTATCTAATCCAGGGTGGTTGCCAGCTCGGACCGGCGAAGACATGACTCTTTTTTCAGAATATGCCAATTACAGTGTTATTGTACCATGTTGATTGACCTTTTGCTTTATATGCACATGGCACTGGCTCGAGCGGGTTTGCTTTTCATGTTGCACAAAAAAAACGCACGACCTCGCGAATATGATTTGGATTTAAAGTTTAATCCATCTCTCATGATTACGGCTCTTTGAATAAAAAATTCCTAGCCAACTATAGACTATACGTCCGACAGGGTGATTTTTGAAATAGGGCTACGTAATCTTGGATTTATGTATACTATTGCATACTAGTCTAATATTTCTTAATTAATCTTATTTATTGGTCATACCCAAGAGGGAAAATTGTACAATTGATTGTTTTACAAAAAATATCATTATTGTTGTTACAAAATATATGTAATTAGGTAAAGTAGTGTTTTAATATTCAGCCAGCATTCCAAGTATATATATAAAAAAATATAATTATAATGTATAATATTACATGTAATCTTGAACAAAAGAATAAGACATTTTCATATGTAGTTGGCAATTAGATGTTAAGATTTCATATAAGCTATAGATTCCCCTGTTGAGATGAAGAGTTTCTTACGTATCTTTCTTTCAATAGACATTTTTTGTCAATATTTTTATAGCAATACACAGGTAGCTTTAAAAAAAAAGAAAAGAAAGAAAGTCATTGTTGTTGGGTTGATGTAAAGTTTTAACTGTGGAAAAATGACGTCTTCAAAAATCTGAGCTTTGAAATATTGTTCTAATTGTAATACTGAATTTGTATTTTCCATTGTAGAGGTGAAGAGTTTATTATATTTCTTTCTTCTGGTAGACAATTTTGATCAATATTTTTATAACAATACACACCTAGCTTTAAAAAAAAATGAAAAAAAAGACATTGTTGTTGGGTTGATGTAAAGTTTTAACCGTGGGAAAATGAAGATTTTGAAAATCTAGGTTTTGGTTATTGGAAAGTGGGATTAAAAGTTTGGGTTGGGGAATTTGTTTTTTTCATTCAATTGTTTTATTTTTTTATTTTTTGTTCTTTTTTGTTTGATTTGTACGGTGATTGAGGTTGCATCAAATTATTTCTGTGATTTTGATTTTAATGATAATTCTGGTCGAAGAATGAATACTCAGCTGAGCCTTCATATATTAGATGCCAATGGAAGTTAAATCTTGTTATAAATTTCATTAGATGTTCAATTCCATCGGAGAAAATGAATAGTAAATAGAAGGGTCAAATAGATATAAAACTTATG